ATATTCTTATACAAATTAATTCCCTTATAATATAATTTATATTATATAATTATATATAATAATTAATTTATTTGAACTAGTTCAAAATAAATTATTCAACAGATTTATTAACCGTCTTTAATTCCCTTTGAGACTTATATATTATTATATATTACATATAAACATTTTTTTTATCGATATATTTAAATAATTTTCTTCTCTTAAACGTTGTATATAAATAAAATTAGAAAGAAATGCGATTTAAGTTAAAACCCTTTTTCGTATTGACGTCATCTTTTATCATAGTTCTCTCGCAGTATGTGACACGACAACATATCGAAATTCTCAATAGGATGAAGAGGGGTGGGGTGGGATTGGGTGGAGAAGAAAGGGTGGAAGAGTGTTGAGTTTCAATGAAAATCCAATCTACTTTCGTTCGAATTTATCTTCGTTTGAAAATTCTTTCTCTTTTGCATCCAATATCGACTAAGAAAAAAATAAAAGATAAGAAAATAATAAAATATAATACATGCAGAGAGAACAAAATATGGCAACAAAATATTTTAACAAATTATATACTATATTATTATTAATATATAAATTAAATTCAAATATATTATATACGATATTAAAATAATATAAAATTATTTATGCAATATATGTTTCTTTATTCTTTTTTTTATGCTGTTCGTTTTAATACATCAAATGAGACAAAAATGTATGCAGAAAAAAGATTGTGATGGGAAAGAAAATAAATGAGAGAGAAAGAGAGAGAAGAAAAATATGTTTGTTTATGTATAATATACACGTGCATGTGTTACAATGATTTATAAAAGTGGAAGAAGGTTTCTAACTTTCGATTTTGTTCTCATCGATACACATTGAGAGCTTTGTTAAATTTCTGCCCTTTGTCAACTGGATGCATTGTTTTTTTTAATTACAAATACACGTACGTGCAACATATATCGATATTTAATTGCAATAATACGAGAAAGTATACAAATCGAGGTTTGGTTATCATTTTCTTGATTGTTTAAACTTTCAGTAATAATAATCGATAATATTTTTTTAATTTCGTCCTAATTAATTTTTCATGTTACGAAATGAAATGAAAATTAAAAACTAATGCAACAACATACGTACAATACGTATTTTAATTAATTTCTAAATAATTCTATTGAAAAAATATTTTTAATAACAAAACGTTGAAATATAATAATCAACATAGTTTAACAAGATCTTGGGGACAAATTTGAATGGTTACATATTTATGGGGATTTCTCAGTGCATAACATATTGAATTATTTTTTTAATGATTTAATAAAATAATTGATTCATGGTGTGTATTCTCTTCCCAATTGATAGAAAAATTTTTATCGAATATCCCTTTGTTTATTATTTTTCTATAAAATAAAAACTATAGTCAGTTAAATATTATATTAAAAATACACCTTATGGTGTTTTATCGTATCGTGTTGATCATAGGTCAGGATAATCGCGAGCAATGAAAGCGAATGCTTGTTGGTTAAATGAGATAATTGGTAATACTCGTATGATTGAAGAAGACTTCATATACAGACACTGTATATATATATATACAGTTTTACTTGAACGTTAAGAAGGAAGTCTTTTCGTTTAAGATAAGAAGACAACAAATTCTTTTACTTTTCATTTCCTTTATTATTTGCCTAAAAAATATGGCAGAAACTTTGACTTGTGTTTGAGTGTGTCTCGATAAAAACAAAAGAAAAAATAATTAATAATCAAATAAAAAACAATTATTAAAAATATCCACTTTATTTATTTTTAAAACGTCATCCGCGTTCTTGGATCGGAATTCTTCATAAGATATAAGAATCAGAGTAAAGAAACTTTATATGCTTCTAACTCTTTGCGAATAGACAGACCTTTCATTCAGATCAAAAGTGTAACTGCTGCTGCTGCTGCTGTAAAAAGAAAATAAAGAAAAAACCAACATTTTTGTTCCTTCTCGATGTTGTTAGAACAACACACACATACACAGATACTGACAGACACACGTATCTCATACATAAGTGGAAGACAGTGATGACCAGTTTCTTTGACTAGGCACAGTTCACTAGACTCCGATTATCATTGCAAATATTACACACTATCACAATTATTCACAAATATGAGAACACAGTTTTTTTTCATCATCATCATCATCATCTTCTTCTGAATATCAAATTCTAATGAAAGTCATCGTACTTGGATTGATTTAAAATTATTATTTCAAAATAAGTCACTGATGTTGATCAATACATTTTAATATTCGTTAAAAAATAAGTTGACTTATGTTAAAACTAACTTTAAAAAATGAGAGAGAGAGAGAGAAAGATGATTAATTTCATGATGAATAAAGGAAACAAAGTGAGTATCCGTCTGGGGGTTTAGCAATTGAACGAAGATGCGCCTATAATTTCGGATGAATCATCCTGCATGGAGAATTTAACTAACATAAGTACCCGAGACTCGCTCATTGATCTTGTCCTCTAACAAACGAGACCACTGAACGTGCCTACTACGTTTTTCTCCTATCCCTTTTTTCCTCCCCCCTTTCACCCCTTTCCTCAACAAATGAAACCCCGCCCGCCCGCC